TCACGCAGCAGCACAGCACACAGTATACAGCACACAGTATATAGCACACACAGTATATAGCACACAGTATATAGTTCCCAGGTGCTGTACATTCATTTCTCTGAACACAGCAGAAGTTGTTTAACTTTTTATGTGAATTCCGCCTTCAGTCTAATTAAGGTAACAAACCTTCAGGAGGCCACAATGGAAAAATACTTTAGCAGAGTGATAAGATACCAGCTTCATTCCACACACTGACTCACCACCCGCAGGGTGTACCCAGAGCCTGGATATGAGGGACACCCAACAGGACCGCACACAGGGTCACCACAGAGGGGGTCACTATAGATGGGGTCACCATAGAGTGGGTCACCACAGATGGTGTCACTACAGAGGGGGTCACCACAGACAGGGTCACTATAGATGGGGTCACCATAGACAGGGTCACTAGGGTACTATGGGGTCACCATAGAGGGGGTCCCCACAGACAGGAGTCACTATCGATGGGGTCACCATAGAGGGGGTCCCCACAGACAGGGTCACTATCGATGGGGTCACCATAGAGGGGGTCACCACAGACCGTGTTACCACAGACAGGGTCACCACAGACCGTGTTCACCGTAGAGAAGGTCTTACACTCTAATGTCCACACCACAGTAGTCACACACTATTATTACACATTTCCTGTACAGTATATAGCTCTGACATATACCATAGCGCTGTACAGAGAACACTGAGCCAGTCCCATCAGTCTCTGTACCAGAGGAGCTTACGCTCTCTAATGTTCCCTCCCACCCCCCACAGCCCCATCAGTCTCTGTGCCGGAGGAGCTTACGCTCTAATGTCCCCTCCCCCACAGTCCCATCAGTCTCTGTGCCGGAGGAGCTTACGCTCTAATGTCCCCTCCCCCACAGTCCCATCAGTCTCTGTGCCAGAGGAGCTTACGCTCTAATGTCCCCTCCCCCACAGTCACATCAGTCTCTGTGCCGGAGGAGCTTACGCTCTAATGTCCCCTCCCCCACAGTCACATCAGTCTCTGTGCCGGAGGAGCTTACGCTCTAATGTCCCCTCCCCCACAGTCACATCAGTCTCTGTACCGGAGGAGCTTACACTCTAATGTTCCCTCCCCCACAGTCACTCACTATTATTATTATATAGCTCTGACATACAGTATACCGCAGTGCTGTGTCTATGGTGGGGGGGGGGGGGGGTGATAATTATTCTTCCAATAATATTTTCATGTATATTGTTGGGTGTGTGGAGGGGTGATGAGGAGATGAGGAAATGAGGTGATGGGGTGAAGGGGCGATGGGGCGATGAGGTGAAGAGGTGATGGGGGGGAATGGGGTGAAGGGGTGAAGAGGTGATGGGGTGATTTGTGTGAAGGGGTGAAGGGGAGATGGGGTGATGGTGTGTAGGGGTGATGAGGCGATGGGGTGAAGGGGAGATGGGGTGATGGTGTGTAGGGGTGACAATGCAATGGGGTGAAGGGGTGATGGGGTGAAGGGGAGATGGGTGATGGGGGGTGATGAGGCAATGGGGTGAAGGGGAGATGGGGTGAAGGGTGATGGGGGAGATGGGCTGATGGGGTGAGGGTGATGGGGTGAAGGGGCAATGGGGTGGGGAGAGAGAAAATGAGGTGATGGGATGAAGGGGCGATGGGGTGCAGAGGTGAAGGGGTGATGGGGAGAAGGGGTGATGGGATGAAGGGCGGGGGTGAAGGGGTGATGGGGAGAAAGGGTGATGGGATGAAGGGGCGATGGGGTAATGGGGTGAAGGGGTGATGGGGAGAAAGGGTGAAGAGGTGAAGGGGATGGAAGGGGTGATGGAGGTGATGGGGTGAAGGGGTGAAGAGAGAGGGGTGAAGAGGTGATGGGGTGAAGGGGTGAAGAGGTGATGGGGTGAAGGGGAAGAGGTGATGGGGTGAAGGGGTGATGGGGGGTGTGATGGTGTGAAAGGGTGATGGGGTGATGAAGGGGTGGGATGGGGGTGATGAGGCGATGGGGTGAAGGGGAGATGGTGAGATGGTGTGTAGGGGTGACGATGTGAAGGGGTGAAGGGTTGATGGGGTGAAGGGGAGATGGGTGATGGGGTGATGAGGCGATGGGGTGAAGGGAAGGGGGTGAAGGGGTGGGGGTGGGCTGATTGGGTGATGGGAGTGGATGAGGTGATGGGGTGAAGGGGAGATGGGGTAATGATGATGGGGTGAAGGGGGGATGGGGTGAAGGGTGATGAGGCGATGGGGTGAAGGGGTGATGGGGTGAAGGGGAGATGGGGTTGAAGGATGAAGGGGTGATGAGGTGATGGGGTGAAGGGGTAGATGGGGTGAAGGGGAGATGGGGTGAAGGGATGAAGGGGTGATGAGGCAATGGGGTGAAGGGATGATGGGGTGAAGGGATGATGGGGGAAGGGGGGGTGAAGGGGATGATGGGGTGAAGGGGTGAAGGGGTGATGGGGGTGATTGTGTGATGGTGTGAAAGGGTGATGGGGTGATGGAGTGATGGGGTGAAGGGGTGATGGGGTGAAGGGGAGATGGGGTGATGAGGGGATGGGGTGAAGGGGAGATGGTGAGATGGTGTGTAGGGGTGACGATGCAATGGTGAAGGGGTGAAGGGTTTGATGGGGTGAAGGAGAGATGGGTGATGGGGGGTGGGGTGAGGGAGATGGGGTGAAGGGGAGATGGGTGATTGGGGGTGATGGGTGGGAGGTGATGGGGTGGGGTGTGAAGGGATGTGATGGGGTGAGGGGGATGGGGTGAGAGGGGATGATGAGGCGATGGGGTGAAGTGGGGTGGTGATGGGATGAAGAGATGGGGTGATGGGTGAAGGGGGATGGAGAATGGGGTGAGGGGGATGATGGGGTGAAGGGGGTGAGGGGGTGAAGGGGTGATGAGGGATGGGAGGGGTGATGGGGTGATGGGGGAGATGGAAGGGGAGATGGTTGGGGTGAGGGGATGGATGGGGTGAGGGTGATGGGGTAAAGGGGAGATGGGGTGAAGGGGTGAAGGGGTGATGAGGTGAAGGGGTGATGGGGTGAAGGGGTGATGAGGTGGGGTGAAGGGATGATGGGGTGAAGGGGGGTGATGAGGTGATGGGGTGAAGGGATGATGGGGGGTGAAGGGATGATGGGGTGAAGGGGTGATGAGGTGATGGGGTGTCACAGTAAATTTGCAACACTAGCAAATTCTGCCATTTATTTTTCAGAGGGGGGGGGGGAGGGGTGGAGGTCGCACACACAGCAGATGTATGTCACATATATGTACATAGCTGAGTTTACACGAGAAGAGCCCTCGGAGGGGGGGGGGGACCTGACCAGGAGAGGTGTATTCTGGGTATACACTGTGGGGGTCATTATCTCATGCTACACATATGGGGGGTAAGAGTAACACCGCGCTCAGTGGGGGGGGGGGGGGTGATCTGCAGTTATAATAATAAATAAAGCTGTACATTCATCGGACGCCATCTGTACGCATTTCATTCACAGGGGGATCCAAGAGAACCCGTCACACACAGAACATCGGCGCTGACGTTACAGACATTGAAATGTTTCGTCTCCATCAGAAAGTTACATTTGAAACATTAACAATGATGGCGTGGGGAACAGCCCATGTACTGGCACAGAGCGCGCTCACTGCACTCCCCAGACTTCAGCTGCCAGAAGCTCCCAGCCAGAAGCTGGCTCCCCATTGGCTCTGTACGGTCACATGTTGCTTAGTGCACTAGTGCTTGCCACGGCATATCAGCTGATAATTATAATGAAAGGAGTGGGGGGGGGGGCTACAATTCCTCCTCTATTCAGGGGGAGAGATTGATTTTGAACATTTGTAATATAAGCGACATCGTCTCTGAAGGTTGCTCGGCCGATACGCCTTTTCTCAGAGCGCCCGCCAACAATGAAAAAAAAAATAAAATGGGCCCTTCCTATTCTGGGGGTGTGTAATGCTTTCTGTGCTGGCCCAGCTCCCTACATACCCATTTGGACAGCTGCTGGGGGAGGAGTGAAGGGTCATACCATTTATTCCGGGGACAGGGGCTCTGTGATACGAGACACGCCATGGTGGAGGAATGTGGCGTGCTCACCGTGGACTATAAACGTATTGTAAAGCCATATACATCAGACAAGTGACAGATTTACAATCCGCGGCTCACAATGGAGGATATTCAATTTATGACACCCGGGGCTCATCAATAAAAAGACGATTAATCACAGAGCACACATGAAGGCTCAGATAGTGCAATCAGCGTTCCACCCCCACGGCCAATCTTCAGAACGAACGACACTACTGCAAATACGTCAGCTTTCATTACATACCTAATTCGAGTCCCTGGCTCTCTGCGCTTCTCTATGCAATGCAGGCAGATCATGGCTGGTAGCAGGGTCAGACTGACCATTTGGAAACTCGGGCACTGCCTGAGGGCCCGGGGTCAGTAGGGGGCCCCATGAGATGTCCCTGGTACCTTTTTCATAGGCTTTTTGAATTTGGGCAAGGACACAGGGGCCCCATGATCCCCTATTGCCTGGGGGCCCCATGAGTTGTCAGTCCGCCCCTGGCTGGTAGGAGGGGATAGCAAGGGGGCAATACCTAACTTCCCAAAAACATCACAGTGCCCTGCCCCGGTACTCCTTTCAAGAGACTTTAATCCAGATGCAAGCAGTGGGAGGAGTTATGCAAATATTCATATGCCTTGATGGGTGGGTGTCAGTCTGGAGGAGTGGGCGTTCCTAGGCAGGCTGGATTTGCATATGCATTGCCCACATGTGATGGTGAGCCTCCTTGATTTAAAGAACTGAAATCCAATGAATGAAAGGGGCGGGGCCAGGGACAGTCAGGCCGGGGAGGAAAGAGTTAGATGATGCTGGACATTCTCCAGTCAGGAAATGAGGCGGAGCTCTATGTGACTGGCTGCAGCTTTTAATGCACATTGTGAGAAGCTCCCCAGTGTGCAGCAACATCAGAGGAAGTCATTTCAGTCCAGGGGAGGAGCCAATACACCTGTGCAAGACTGGAGGGGAGGAGCCGGTACACCTGTGCAAGACTGGAGGGGAGGAGCCGGTACACACCTGTGCAAGACTGGAGGGGAGGAGCCGGTACACCTGTGCAAGACTGAAGGGGAGGAGCCGGTACACCTGTGCAAGATGGAAGGGGAGGAGCCGGTACACCTGTGCAAGACTGGAGGGGAGGAGCCGGTACACCTGTGCAAGACTGGAGGGGAGGAGCCGGTACACCTGTGCAGGACTGGAGGGGAGGAGCCGGTACACCTGTGCAAGACTGAAGGGGAGGAGCCGGTACACCTGTGCAAGACTGGAGGGGAGGAGCCGGTACACCTGTGCAAGACTGGAGGGGAGGAGCCGGTACACCTGTGCAAGACTGGAGGGGAGGAGCCGATACACCCTGTGCAAGACTAGAGGGGAGGAGCCAGTACACCTGTGCAAGACTGAAGGGGAGGAGCCGGCACACCTGTGCAAGACTGAAGGGGAGGAGCCGGTACACCTGTGCAAGACTGAAGGGGAGGAGCCCAGTACACCTGTGCAAGATGGAAGGGGAGGAACCAGTACACCTGCATGACTGGAGGGGGATTTAACAAGGGTGAGAGGTGGAAGAATTTCGGAGGCAGAACAGTGACAGCTCAGCACTTTCCACAAGAACAATATCCCGTTTTATAGGTAATAATCACTTTTTATGACATCGCCCATAAAGTCCGACCTCAGAGTTTACTATTTCCCTAAAACTTCCACTCTCCGGTGAACTTTTCTAGAAATTCCATCTGACTCCCCGGCTGCTCATTTCTGATTGGAGGCTGACGAAGATCTGTGCAGTCCTCACTGGGGTTTTCATGGGGGGTCAGTACAATGGGGGGTCAGTACAATGGGGGGTCAGTACAATGGGGGGTCAGTACAATAAACATTTCACCAGAAAGCAAAATGCATTGGGGAGAAATTTTGTGTGTGTGTGTGGGGGGGGGGGGGGGGAGGCAGACATGGAGCAGCATACATTTTGCCCTAAATTTATGATAAAATTTGATTTTTTAAATTAAATAACATGATTTATAGCAAACAGTCAAAAATATTGTTTTTTTCTCAAAATTGTCGGTCTTTTTTTTATAGCGCAAAAAATTAAAAACGCACAGGTGATCAAATACCACTGAAAGAAACTTAAATTCGTGGGAAAAAAAGATGTAAATTTAATTTGGGTTCAGCGTTGCATAAACCCGCGCAATTGTCAGTTAACAGTAATGCAATAGTGATTGAGAAAGGGATCACATGACATTGATCATAAACAAAGCCATGTCACTAATAGTGCTGAGAAAGGGATCACAAGTCATTGTTTTACCCAGTTTATAGCACAGGTCCCTGCACAGGGCTGCATGTACCCCGGGGGTAGTTCCGGCAGGATCAGGTTGGCATCTCTTTGTAAAAGTAAACCCATGGGGGGGGGGGGGGGTTGACTGAAAAACCCATGCAGCCCATGGCATTAACGTGTTGCTGTGCGCTTTCAGATGCAACCCATTTCTGCAGAATGCGTAAAAAACAGTCAGTGACTTTGCCTAGGCCAGTGTTTCTCAACTCCAGTCCTCATGGACCCCCAACAGGTCATTTTTCAGGATTTCCATTATTTTGCACAGGTGATTTGATCAGTTTCACTGCCTTAGTAATTACCACAGCTGTTTCATCTGAGGGAAATCCTGAAAACATGACCTGTTGGGGTCCATGAGGACTGGAGTTGAGAAACACTGGCCTAGGCTGAGATGATATCATCAGTCCGCTGCAGGCAGCAGGAAGCCTTTCCTCAGTCTCCCCCCCCAGTGATCAGAGCACACCACGGTGATGTCGGAGGTGAAAAACCAGCCAACGATATCCTAGCTGTCATTTTTGGAAGGAAATCCCGTGCCGCATTGTGTGCGATGGGCAGTCTGCTGCAGTTAGGTTGGGGTGATTCCATCCAGCTCTGTACGTACTGGGCCCAGGTCCCTGCAATGGGAACCACCAAGACTGGGGAAAAGCGGGCAAGGCCTAGAGGGCAGGAAATGAAAGGAACATTAAAGGAGGGAAATGTTGAGGAATAAAAAAAAAAAAGGAAAATGAAGATTATCATGAAAAGTTCCGAGTGACTATCCTGGAGGGGAAGCCGTACCAGAGGGGTGCACATTCCAGCACAGGGTCAATAGAGCCGTCCCTGGAAGTCCTGCTGTGTTGATGTTGGATAAATAGAAAGAGAGAAATACTGTAATCCATCCAGACTGCATGATTCCTGCGCTGCACGTACCGCCATGTAAAGGAGCGCGCACATTGCCAGGATATACAGCCTGGGGGGATGGGGGGGTCAATATCAACTATAGGAAGGGGGGGCGTGGGGTCATTATCAACTATAGAAAAGAGGGGGCGGGGGTCATTATCAACTATAGGGAATTGCGGGGGGGTCATTATCAACTATAGAAAGAGGGGGCGGGGGTCATTATCATCTATAGGAAGGGGGGGGGGGGGGGTCATTATCAACTATAGGAAGAGGTGGGGGGGTCATTATCAACTATAGGAAGAGGGGGCTGGGGGCTCATTATCATCTATAGGAAGTGCTAAGGGGGGGGGGTCATTATCAACTATAGGAAGAGGGGGGGGGGGGTCATTGCAACTATAGGAAGGGGGGGGCGGTAGGGGTCATTATCAACTATAGGATGAGGTGTGTGTGGGGGGGGTCATTATCAACTATAGGAAGGGGGGGTGGGGGGGTCATTATCAACTATAGGAAGAGGGGGCGGGGGTCATTATCAACTATAGGAAGGGGGGGCGGGGGTCATTATCAACTATAGGAAGGGGGGGTCATTATCAACTCTAGAAAGAGGTGGGGGGGTCATTATCAACTATAGGAAGGGGGGGGGGGCGGGGGGGTCATTATCAACTATAGGAAGATGTGGGGGGGTCATTTATCAACTATAGGAAGGGGGGGCAGGGGATCATTATCAACTATAGGAAGAGGTGGGAGGCGGGGGGGGGGGGGGCATTATCAACTCTAGGGGGGGGGGGGGGGGGGTCATTATCAACTCTAGGAAGGGGGGGTCATTATCAACTATAGGAAGAGGTGGGGGCAGCCCATTTTGTTTTATAAGCAATATCCTGAATTTGTATCCTTCTAGTTGTCATTTTATATTAGAATGTTTCCAATCATCTTCACTAAGTTGTAACATTGTTGCCATTTATTATGAATCTATCAATCCTTCAGCATCCGTGTCTACAATGTTACCTCTCACTTGACTTTATGTCCTATATTTCTATATCTGAAAACTATATACTGTATATCATTTGTAACATTATCCACTGATCGCTATTTATTTCAGGTACTTATATAGCGCCATCAATGTACTCCGCACTTTACATATATATTGTACATTCACATCAGTCCCTAACCCTCAAGGGGCGTACAATCTTAGGTCCCTCACCCTCAAGGGGGGTACAATCTAAGGTCCCTAACCCTCAAGGGGCGTACAATCTAAGGTCCCTAACCCTCAAGGGGCGTACAATCTAAGGGCCCTAACCCTCAAGGGGCGTACAATCTAAGGCCCCTAACCCTCAAGGGGCGTACAATCTAAGGTCCCTAACCCTCAAGGGGCGTACAATCTAAGGTCCCTAACCCTCAAGGGGCGTACAATCTTAGGGGTTCTTAGGTCCCTAACCCTCAAGGGGCGTACAATCTAAGGTCCCTAACCCTCAAGGGGCGTACAATCTTAGGTCCCTAACCCTCAAGGGGCGTACAATCTAAGGTCCCTAACCCTCAAGGGGGTACAAATCTAAGGTCCCTAACCCTCAAGGGTGTACAATCTACCGTCCCTAACTCACATTCATACATACACATACTAGGGCCAGTTTAGACAGGAACCAATTTACCTACCAGCATGTCTTTGGAGTGTAGGTGGAAACTGGAGGAAACCCATGCAGGCACAGGGAGAACATGCAAACTCCAGGCAGGCACAGGGAGACATGCAAACTCCAGGCAGCTGGTGCCATAGTTGGCATTCAAAACCAATGACCCTAGTCCCTAGCCCTCAAGGGGCGTACAATCTAAGGTCCCTAGCCCTCAAGGGGCATACAATCTAAGGTCCCTAACCCTCAAGGGGCGTACAATCTTAGGTCCCTAACCCTCAAGGGGCGTACAATCTAAGGCCCCTAACCCTCAAGGGGCGTACAATCTAAGGTCCCTAACCCTCAAGGGGCGTACAATCTTAGGTCCCTAACCCTCAAGGGGTGTACAATCTAAGGTCCCTAACCCTCAAGGGGCGTACAATCTTAGGTCCCTAACCCTCAAGGGGCGTACAATCTAAGGTCCCTAACCCTCAAGGGGCGTACAATCTTAGGTCCCTAACCCTCAAGGGGCGTACAATCTAAGGTCCCTAACCCTCAAGGGGCGTACAATCTAAGGTCCCTAACCCTCAAGGGGTGTACAATCTACCGTCCCTAACTCACATTCATACATACACATACTAGGGCCAGTTTAGACAGGAACCAATTTACCTACCAGCATGTCTTTGGAGTGTAGGTGGAAACTGGAGGAAACCCATGCAGGCACAGGGAGAACATGCAAACTCCAGGCAGGCACAGGGAGACATGCAAACTCCAGGCAGCTGGTGAGTACTGCCAGGTGGAAGTGCTAACCATTTAGCCACTGTGGTGCCTATATATATATATACATACATACACGCACAATGTATATATAATAAAATAATCCTTAGAATAAATAAATTACTAATAATAATAACATATATAATACAATACAGACACAACATATATATATACATACAGACACACACATATATATATATATATACATACATACAGACACACACACACATAATACATACAGACACACACACATATATATATATATATACATACAGACACACACATATATATACATACATACAGACACACACATATATATTACATACAGACACACACATATAAATATATATACATACAGACACACACATATACATATATATATATACACATACAGACACACACACATATATATACACACATACAGTATACATATACACACAGTATATATATATATATATGTGTATATTTATTATTTAAGTATAATTTATTTATTCTAAGGATTATTTTATAATCAATGAGGTTTCATTCACACGACTACAAGTACGCATGTACAGGCGGGAGTGCATTTAGGATTTGTACTGCCTAAAGCCAGGAATACACGGTAAGAAAATCCTACTAAACATTTCATTGAGCAAACGATCGACTGATTTTCTCTTCGTTGATGAGCAGGATGTTATAACCGATAACGATATTGTGAACAAACAAAAATCCGGTTGAACAGTGAAAAATGTAGAGTTTCGCATGCGAATGACCGATTTTCTATGCGGTGGTATGACAGTCATCCGAAAAAAAAAAAAATCTATCAAGTGGCTCAGGAGCGAGATTGCTCAGGTGCCCTCATAGCAAGCTGCTTGCTGTGGGGGCACCTGACAGGGGGTAGGAGCCAGGAACACTGGCGGGGGACCCAA